TGCTGTTTTTTTTTTTTTTTTTTTTTTTTTTTTTTTGAAAAACAGGGGCCCAATGCCCTGGGCTCAAATTATCAAGTTGGATACAGTACGAACACACTCCTCTTCCCATTAGGGCTTGAAGAGCCCCAGCCACTGCTCCCCTGGAGACAGCTTCCCTATGCGACTAGAATGAGGCATGTGCAAGGGGCATTGATTGCTTCCCTTAAAGGGAAGGATTAACCCCTCACCATACCATGGAAAACTCAAGCCCAGTCCTACTGGGGCAAGGTCCCACTTGCGCAAATTAGGAGATTGCGGCCGTTGATCTTTGCTATCTACGGTCAGTATCTCTTAATCCGTGCAAGTGGGACCTTGCCCCTGTAGTCAAGCAGCAGTGAATAAACCCTCTGAAGTCGAAAACCGGGGGAGAAATTAAAGCAGGGCAAAAAAAATGTACGCAATTTGTAATGGACGTGGGGCCCGCTTCCCGGTTTTGTATAATAATAAAGCATCCTTCAAAAAACAAAAAAAACAAAAACAAAAAAAAAAAAAGGAAAAATAAGATCACGGTGTGATTGCCACAGTTGGCAAAAGGTAAAGACCACAAGATTCTTCAAGATAAGAAAAAGGCAAGACAAGATTCTTCCGGATTAGGAAAAAAAACAACTGTTACAGGAGATTGTTGGAAAAAAAAAAAAAAGAACGGGAGATTGTTGTAGTAGATGAATTCACACCTGACATATAACATCTCACTGTGGCTACAAAACTACAAAAAAATAATCTCCTTATAAAAAAAAGGAAAGAAAACACACATTAAAAAAAAAAAAAAAAAAAAAAAAAAAAAACAAAAATATATCATCATGCACACAAGATAACTATGATATCAACTTGAGGGCATACTCACACTAGGACTATTTCAATTTTCAAGTCACATCTGGACGTAAAACCGGTCAGATACATCGGCCTGTCTTCGATCCATGGGTATCAGGTTGAACTTCTTTTTCTCTTTTTTTTTTTTCTTTTTTTTTTCTTTTTTTTCTTTTTTTTTAAAACCCCTATCAGTATTAGTGATGCTCGTAGGAGCAGACACCACTAGCACCTGGGGGGGCTCATCTATTGGTGGGGAGCATCACCTGCTGGAAAACGGGTCCAGCGTCCCAGGTAAAGACAAAAATCATGGCCGTGTATCTTTCCATATTCTAGCGGAAGATTCACTCTCCTTTTGCACATTTCGAGAGTAGTGCAGCGAGGCCAAAATTATTTCGGCTCCGTTGACCCTTTGCGCTTTCTCGTCGTCGGATTTTGGCTCTATTAGTGTGCATGAGAGATGTCTGGATTTTTTTTTTTTTTTTTTTTTTTTTTTTTTTTTGGGGAAATCTGGATCTGTATGGGTGTGCACTGTGCATTTTAAGGCGTCTCTCCTCATGCTGCAGCTGATGAGGCCGATCAGTGTCTCATATGTCGTATATCATATAATATTTATTTATTTTATTTTATATAATAATTTATCTAATAATTTAGGTTGTGAGGATATCAGGCATCGTAGACGACTTTTTGCCGAGAACCTTTGCCTCTGCCTCTGTATCCGGGAAGTGTTCGAATCCCTCCAGCGCAGTGACCCTTCCGTCCTCCCCCACCACAACTGGGTATGGCACGATATGACTCCGCATGTCCGTGGTCTCATCGGAGATGAATGTCTGCCAGTTGTTCTCCGCAATATCTCTCACTCTTCGCACGCACTCCTCCGAAGATGGGTACAGAAAAACCTCCTCGATCTCGCCCGTATGCTCCGCCCACAAGGACATACGGAAGCCGTGCACTCGACCGCGTGGAAGATCCGACCGCTGTGCATAGGTGTAGTATGGCTGATAAGCTCCAATAGCAGATTCGGTGTCGCGTGCTCCATCCATGGACCGTTGATTGATGTTCGCCGATCCAACGATGACGTACTCATCATCCGCCTGCAAATCCAATTTCCAGCACAAACGGGCGAAAAGCCAAAATTAAAACGGGGGGGAGAGGAGGGGGAAAGGGAAGGGGAAAGGGGGGGGGGGCGGGGGACCGGCATTGTCATCATTCATTCATCAATCAGAATTTCGATCATCATCATCATCATCATCATCATCAGCAGCAGCAGCAGCAGCAGCAGCGAACCAACTGACAATTGTTGCATTGGACTGAAGAAGATGCTGAGCTCAACCCCCTTGATCTTCATCTGTCCTTTTTCTTCTCCTTTTTTTAGAAAACAATTGCCCATTGTCATCATTCATTTATCATCTGTCATAATTTCGATCATCATCATCATCATCATCATCATCATCATCATCATCATCATCATCATCATCGAGCAAAGTTAAAGTTGTTGCTTTGGACTGAACAAGACGCTGAGCTCACGGCAGTTGATCTTGATCTTCCCTTTTGTTTCTCCTTTATTAAAAAAGGAAATTGGACGAATTCTCAATTTATACGTGTCATCCTTGCGTAGGGAGCCCCGGTAGTATCTTGGGGAAAAAAAAAAAAAAAAATGATCTTCTTCTCGTAGGG